CAATGTCCACCACAAACAACCTCCCGTCAAACAATACCCTGAATCTCTCCTATGCAGCTCTAGGCATTTTCGGTGCCCTCCTTCTCCCTAGCGTGTACATCACCTGGAAGCATGGAAAAGCCGGTATCATCTGCTGGCCTATATTCGTGTCCTTCTTTGTTCTTCGCTTCGTGTCGGACGCGTATCTCATCATCCGTAAAAACGACCCCGAAGAACCAACCACCGTCACCATGATGACCAATGCTGGAGGCATTGTGTGCTTGTCGCTGACTCTGATCGGCATGATCTACGAAGCGTGAGAAATATTCATCAAGAAGTCCATTTACAGTGTACTGACATTTAACGATAGTGTCAGTCTTATCCCATCTCGCTCCAAACGCTGGGGTCGAAAGATAATGCTCGGTGCCACCCATCTCGGCAACACGGTCGGTATTGGCATGGCAGCATACGCAGGAAAGCCAGACGACGATGCTCCCGGCGGCGTGAAAGACGAGACCCTCAACAAGGTTGGAAACATACTCATGTTTTTGGTCATGGTCGTGGTCTTGTTCTGGTTGTGGCCCGCGATGAAGCGAGTTCTCTCAGCCCGACAAGAGGTCAACTACAAGGCGTCCAAGGCACTCGTGATGGCTGCTGGACCTGGAATCGTTCTCCAGCTGATCCGCCTGAGCTACAGTCTGACGTACGCCTTCAACCGCATCGCAAGCTTGGATCCAGTCACGGGTAGCTTCGCCACAAGGCTGGTGTTGATGTTTGGAACACAACTGTGCATTGTTCTGGTCATTATCGCTGGAGGATGGTTCAGCAAGGATGCGCTGCCGCCGTCGCTGATCAAGGTTGGAGCTGCAGACGTTGAGATGAACAGGGCTTCAGAGAGATTGGTCAGACAACAAGAGGCAGGTGTTGTTTGATCGGCACTTGTGGTTACTGCCGAACACCCCAGGACAAGTTCATGCAGGATATCTCTTGGGTAGTTGACAGGGATTGAAAGCAGGGGGAAGAAGGCATGTGAGTGGGTGTTGAACTGGTGGTGGCACTCCCGACTGGTGTCACGGTGACAGTTATTTTTCGGATCAAAGCCGAAAAACAACTAGATGGATGGTGGTAGGGGGAATAAGACGGCTGGATTGTAACTTCTTCTATATCACTTGTTAACTAGTAGATCTTCTTTCGTTTGTACATTCGCTTTCCTCTCTTCAGACAGACTGCCTGCTCAAACGGTAACACAGGGTTTGCATCTGCCGCTTTCGACGCAATGTTTGGATCAAACATAATCATACATCACCTCTTGATTCTTTCATTGCTTCTTCTTTCAAATAACCTGTTTCCAAGCCTGCACTTTCGCTTTCTTTTTCCTGTTCTACGGTACGCCACCTGGCTGTCAATTTACGCCTCGGCGGGTGATGACGTCACATGAAGTATAGGTTAAGTGACGACCTGGCGACTTCGATGGGATGAACATCCACAAAGCCACGGGAAAAGACCAGTGGAACGTTAAACAGAAGATACAAAGCGAAAATTAAATTAGGTATTGACGTTTGCAACCCAAAGTGAGACTGTTTCGTCACCTGAAACTCTGTATGACGGTTGTGACTCAGATCATGAAGAGGAGATAGCTCCAATATCTCCAACAACGCCAGCGGGGAAATGGTGGTCATGACAGGAGTCATACGAGTCATGCGACCCGAGGCATGATCCTGGAATAGGCAAGTGGTAATTGCTGTCAGACAACCTCCACCAAGTGCCTGTGCTTGTGTGGGCGGGGGAAGTAAAAAAGGGCCGCCTGGACAGAGATCTAGACCTCCACTTGATATGGATAGTAATGAGGATTGAATTGAATCAGATAAGATGATATAGAGAGATGTAAATGTGTCTCTATAAAGATAATTTGTTATTATTTTTTACTTCTTTTATATGCTACTATAATACAAAAGAGTGACCTTGAGACAAGTTAGACAGCTTTGTCATTCGTGTCTCATTATTTCTTCACCAAACGTGCCTTGTGCCTTGTGCGGCCTCGGCCCCTTGACGCGTGTGGCAAAGGTCAATTCCGCCCGCGGTGCGCGGTTATCTCCTTCAGTGGAGCCCATTATCAATAAATACCTGTATCGATGCTTGAGCGTCCGGGGAACGCTTATCAGGTGGACCTCGTAATCTCGTAAAGGGACATGATCTGTCCAGGTAGGGCGCGATAGCGGGAGACTGCGGCTGCCAAGTTGCCAAGAAGGATATTCCAGAAGGAAAAGAAGGACAGCGCTTCCTGGGAGTCTATGTGTTGGCCAAGACAGCGCGGTCTTGGTTCAAGGCGGACCGCGCGGAATCATAGCCGCGATGCTTCACAAGACTCATGCGAACCCCAAAGGCCAAGCCTCTTGTCGTGTACCCCGGACCTTCTAGCCTGATCAGGCACGAGATAAATCGTGGAGGAGCGGAGCCCATGGGAGAGAGCCCCTCCTCCACACCCACAGCCAGCCCGTGAACCTTGCCGACCGGGCCTCAGCTCAGCGACGGGCCGTTTGTGTCCTTGATTTCGCTCCTTTCTCCTTGACATAACTTAAACCTCCTTTCCCATCTTTTTGTTTCTTGTTTGTGATACCCCGCGACATTCCTTGTCGTTTCTCATCTGCGACTCTCCCTACCAGGGCCTGCGTGCCATCTACAGATTCTCACCATCACGTGACAGCAAAATTCCCGTCGCGTCGTCGCCAAATGGAGCACGGCACGAGCAACGACGCCGACCAGGCGCTCGCCCGCCTGGGCTACAAGGCGGAGCTGCCTCGGAACCTGAGCATGCTCAGCGTGCTGGGCCTCTCATTCGCCATCATGGCCGTGCCGTTCGGTCTCTCGACGACAATGTACATCACCCTGACCAACGGCCAGGCCGTCACCGTCATCTGGGGCTGGGTCCTCGTGTCGCTCATCTCGCTATGCATCGCCGCCTCACTCGCCGAGATTTGCGCCGTCTTCCCCACATCTGGAGGCGTGTATTATTGGAGTGCCATGCTCAGTACCGAACGTTATGCGCCCTTGGTCAGCTTCGTCGATGGTTGGCTCACTCTTGTCGGCAACTGGACCGTCACATTGTCCATCAACTTCTCGGGAGCGCAACTCATCCTTAGCGCCATCACCATCTTTAACGAGGATTTCGTGGCCAATGAGTGGCAGACGGTGCTGTGCTTCTGGGCTGTTATGCTTGTGTGTGCGTTGGTGAATGCCTTTGGCTCTCGATACTTGGATCTTATCAACAAGGTCTGCATTTACTGGACTGGCGCGAGTGTTATCATCATCATCGTCACCTTGTTGACCATGGCTGATACTCGCCGGTCTGGTGAGTTTGTCTTTGGCCATTATGATGCCTCAGCGAGTGGTTGGCCCGAGGGATGGTCGTTCTTTGTTGGTCTGTTGCAAGGTAACAACATCAACACCCATATTCACTTCCAGTACTGACATTGATAGGTGCCTATGTCCTTACTGGCTACGGCATGGTCGCTGCCATGTGCGAGGAGGTCCAGAACCCTGAGCGTGAAGTCCCCAAGGCCATCGTCCTCTCCGTCGCCGCCGCCGGAGTCACTGGTGTCATCTACCTGGTGCCCATCCTCTTTGTCCTCCCCGACGTCCAGATGCTTCTTGCTGTCGCCAACTCGCAGCCCATCGGCACCTTGTTCAAGGTCGTGACAGGTTCTGCCGCTGGTGGCTTCGGTCTTCTCTTCCTCATCCTCGGAATCCTCATGTTTGCCGGTATCGGAGCCCTCACTGCTGCTTCCCGCTGCACCTACGCCTTTGCCCGTGATGGTGCTATTCCAGGACACAAGCTGTGGGCTCGTGTCAACCACAAGCTCGACATGCCTGTTTGGGCGCTTGTCTTGTCCACTGTCGTCGACTGCATTCTCGGCTGCATCTACTTTGGTTCTTCGGCTGCCTTCAACTCCTTCACCGGCGTTGCCACCATTTGCTTGTCCACCTCGTACGGTGTCCCCGTCCTGGTCAACCTCATCCGCCGACGCAAGATCGTTCAACACTCGCCCTATCCCCTTGGAAAGTTTGGCCCAATCATCAACGGAATCTGCGTTGTCTGGATCGTCTTCTCCGTCGTCATCTTCTGCATGCCCGTGTCGCTTCCCGTCGATGCAGGCACCATGAACTATGCTTCCGTCGTCTGGGCCGGATTTGCCGCCATCGCCTTTATCTGGTACTTTGCCTACGCTCGAAAGCACTTCAAGGGACCCCCCATCAACAGAAGTGAGTCGTTTGAGCCTGGAGTCAAGGTTCTGGCCGGCGAGGGAGGCAGGGCTGCTGATGATACCACTGGCGAGATGCAAGAGAAGGGCTCTAGCTAGAGGGTGTAAATGTCAAGGTCAGGTGTACAATTACTGAATCACTATAGCGTATTGTTCGAGAGATACCATTATTGAAAGAGATAAATATGTTGTTGATTGTCCTACATGTCCTGTTTCTACAAAGCAACGTGTTACGGACACAAACTGGTGCATCATGCGCAGATCAAAGGTAGCTCTACCCCATCAATGAATGACCCTAATCACGGGGCGCCGTGAGATGGTTTCAACGTGCTCAAAACCGGTCTCATTGCTCCTGTGCCTTGCACTCTCTGATTATGTGAAGGAAGTATCACCATCAATCACTGGGTCGCCATCAAGCGAATATCCATCGCAATGTCTATTGGATACTTGGTGACAGTTTTTCAGTATATATATCTACCTTATGCATCTCTAACAGCTGTTCATAACTTCTTTGCGTGCAATTCGGAGCTCCAAAGCTAGCTCTCATCTGCTACCGACTGCCACGGCAACTTCCTTATTTATTAATAGGTGCTACTTCCCCCTCCTTTCCTATTCGACCTTCATATGAACTTCCTAATAATCTCTCGCATGTCTTTTGGAAAGAGCCCTCAGGTCTGGAACGAACGCCAAGCCAAGTAGCATCATGAAACCCAACCTGCCTCCCACCGAAACTCGCAGCTCGTTCATCTCTGTACCACCATCATGGCCTCCAACAAAAATCCAATAACAATGAATTCATATATTTCCCATCCACTTTTCGGCCTTCCTGACGATATTCGAGACAAGATTTACCTTCTTGCGACCCCTCCACGTATCGTCAGAGTCGAGGAGAGTCCCCAGGTCTCTTCTCCTGCCGTGCTCGCATTTCTATACAAGCTTCAATTCACGGGCAAACGGCCTTTTATACATCCTTCTCTGGCATACTTTTCTCCTTTCTGGCGCCCTTATGTCTTGGAGCTACAGGGATGGAATCCGCGGATCCTGCCGCCCCATGAACCAATCAGCCAGTCGCCTACTCAGCCTGATCCATGGAAGCCATCCCAAAGCTGCCCTCGAATTGATCCCGTCTGGCTTGCTCATCGACCTGAGCTCGCATGGAATCTGTGTCGAAGCTCGAGTCTCTACTCTAAAGCTCCAATACCGCCTCTGCTGCACACGTGCCGCGACTCTCGAAACCGCTTGAGACGACTTGGATATAAACTCGCTTTCTCGACTCGCACCTCTGAAGCCCGGACTTGGTTCAACTTTCGACGCGATACGCTATTTCTCAGAGATCCCGATATAGTCGACTTCCAGAGGTACAAAATTGATGTCGAAGGCCGCTACTTCGACGATATGCTGTTAGCCCTCCCATTCAACTTGGCGCAGTTCATGCCTTTGGACCTACTCAGCGTCCGACGACTTGTCCTCCCTTTCGATCGAGTACTCGACATGACGGAGCCTTCTTCTCCAGACCTGTTGATAAAAATAATGGGGGCTCTGCGTGTCATTCCTCACCTTGAACAACTTTTCATAGCCAATGGCATCTTTGGACCTGGAGCCGACACACAGCCCTTGGAATGGGTCGACTGCGACGCTGCGGATTACCACATTGAAGAAGTCCGGAAATTTTCATTATTTAGAGATCTCAGCAAGTTCGTTGTCGGATCAAGTCTATTTAAACCCTATACAGCTGCCTGGGCAGACTTTTCGACATGTGTGGGCGACGAGTTTGAGGAGCGTCTGCAAGAAGGCCGAGACGAAGACTTGCGTCACTCAGTCCGAAAATGGGGTGTTCCCAAGGTTAAAGTAGGCTACCTCGGCGCGCCAAAGGACTTGAGGCGTCTTTCTCGCATTCGACAGGAGTACTGGCAGGGGCTTGATAACACAGATGTCGGCGAGAAAAGTTCCAGTGAAAAGGAACAGTCGATGTCCAGCACCTACTCTGAGTCCGAGGAGCTATCAACGGGCTCTTCAGGTGGTGACACCTGGTCTGATGATTGGCCAGTGTACTGATGAAGCATCAATTGTTTGGGCATGCCAAGAGAAGAGCATATGCGCGTGACGAGCGACGAAGTACTTAACAGCGTGTTTGCAAAACTATTGTGGTAGAAATTGAATATGAACTGCCATTGTTTCCATTCCGCAAAGGTGCAAACTTGTGCTCAATTATCAATCCAGGTACAGGTATCCGGATAAAGACGAGAACTTCCGTGTCACCTGTGGTCCTTGATATTATCCCAATAGTCTAGATGAGAAGTGAAAGAAAACATCCCAATGGTGGTTTGGAGTTCAATACCAACCAGGCTTCTCTCTTCTTTGACCGTGTTGTTCCGTGCCATTGCTCAACTGCATGTTTTTCCAAGAACAAGGGATGTCGGAGTGTTTGCCTACAATAGCGTGCTTGCCTAACATCTTTACGGATATGCGTAATCTGTCAATGTCTACCTAGATCTCGTCAATCTCTAGCATCGACGGGACATCTCCTCATAACCCCATCTCATATCGCTTCGCTTAATGCAGCGTCACTCAAGCACTCCCTTCTAGGCTTACTGACCCTCGGCAATCTCGACAAGAATCTTGCAAGTCTCGGGAGCCTTGCCCAGGAACGGGCTGTGGCCAGCCGCTATCCTCCTCTCTTTCACGCCAGGGGTCAACTTGACCAGCTTCTCCTGAAGAGTCAAAGGGAAGATGAGATCGTTCTCGCAGATTATGTAAGTCTTTGGAATGGTAATGTCGGCCGCGATAAAGTCGATGCCTGTCTCGAAGGCGTCTTGGGAGTGTGGCAGCACGTTTGCATACACCTTTCTTGCCTCTTCCTCTGTGGTATCGTTGTAGAGCATCTGGAAGCCCTTTTCATTGATGGTAGACTGCTTGTTCTGCAACAATCACGTTAGAATCACAGATGAAAACCAAGTTGTGAATGCTTGCCTTTGTGTAAGCCTCTTGGGTGTTTTGCCAGTCAGGCCAAACTCCACCAAGAGTCGTCAACAAATCCCAACCCTTGACAGGAACCGCAAAAGCCGCGAGAAAGACGATGCAGCGGAATCCACCCTTCAGCCCTCGCTCGGCTCGCTCGTGTACCCCCTGTCCCTCTGTGGCGACGGTGGCAGGGATGCCTCCGTACGAGTGGCCGACGAGAACCAATTCTCTGCCTTCTTCAAAGTAAGGCTCAGCTGTCTCTAGCACCTTTGCCTTGTCGGCTTCCCAGGTGACTCCGTGTGTTTCGTGGCCCATCGAGGGCATCTGGGGAATTGTGCATTCGTAATCAAGGCGGTTGAGTTCGTTCTTGAGGGAGTCGTAGCACACGGGTGGATGCCATGCTCCGGTGACGACAAGGAAAACTGGTTTATCACTAACCGAACCCATCTTAATTTACGATCTGCGGGATGTAACCGAGGGGGAGAGAAAAAAGTACCTGTGAACTACCAAGTGAACAGTGGCGGCGCAGTGCGCGTAGTTATATCCGGCGATGTGGGAACTTTTCAGCCTCAAAACACACCGAAACAGATCCGGTTCAGGATCAGGCATTGACATTTCTTACTGCAGGTTCCACCTGGGAGCGGGTATAGCCTCAAGTACGGGGCATCATACGACGAATCATTCCATGTCTTGCATGCCCACGGGCCCATATCAGGACACGCCGCTCACCACGTTTCTGGCAAAACCTCCCGCTGTGACGAGCCCCGTCTATGCAAGAGGTGGGGACCTTGGAATGGCTACTCAGGATTTGGTCCCAACAGGGGTTTGTTGGTTGTTAGTTCTGCAATATCACAGCTGAACTCAGATGCCCCTTGCGCTCGACCCACGATAGCTCCTCACTCGGTGAAGGGGTGCTTGTCCTTAGGCATGGTTTCCCATTTATTTAGCACAGACGCGATCTTGGACGTGGGATCACCCGGGCCCGTGGTAACGAAACCAGTGCCTTGACGAGACGTTCAGCTCATCCAATGTCGTGGTCGACGTGTTTATGGGAGCTTGCTTTCCATCGACCTTTATTCTTGCAACAACGAACATGACGAGCCTCTCCGATTTCCGGCCCGAGTTCTTGGAATCCGATGAAGGGGCGAGAGTGGCGGGCGTTTGCGCCGCCATGATTCCAGTCGCAACGATCATGTTGCTGTTCGGTTCTAGTCGAGGCGGAGGAAACGGATACACATTGGGATCAATGACTGGTTGATTTTTATATCGCTTGTATGTTTTGCAGCGTGTTTGCCCTTTCCATTGCTAATGTTTGACAGCCTCTGCTTTGTTCTGTAGCGATTTTGGACATCTGTGGTGAGTACCTTGTTGGACGAACGCCAGGAGACAAGGCTGACCAAGGCGTTAGCTGTTCATTATGGGAGTGTTGCGAGGCAGTTGGCCGTGGTGCTGATGGAGAATCGGCATATGTTTGGGAGATCAATGCAGTGAAGTGACGCCATCCTCCGTTATTAACGCCCCTCTAACATAAACCAGTGTCTCTTCATCGGCGATTTCACCTACGGTACCGTCCTCTGCACCATCAAGGCAGCCGCCCTCTCGACGCACCACTGCATCTTCCCCACCCGATTTATGAAGTCCGGCTGATACTTCCTCAGCGGCATGACGTTTGCCTGGTGGGTGGCCGTTCTTCGTCTCCATCTTCCAGTGTGTCCCGGTCCAGAAGACATGGCACCCCTTCATGGAGGGGGTACACTGCTTGGATAAGAACCAATTCTTTTCTCGGCAACTCCATTCCCGATATTATTACCGACGCCCTGAGTCTCTGCTTTCCTGTGTACGAGGTCTGGAAGCTATAGGTTCGCAGTTCGCAAAAGCTTGCCAATATCGGAGTCTTTCTCCTTGGAGGGATGGACGTCTCCCTCTTGGTTTTCAGGCAAGGCTTTATGTACTGACTCGAGGCGAATACAGCTAATCACGACGAATCCATAGCAAGGCCGTTATTGGCCTCGTCAATGTTGGAGTTGACGCGGACTTTACTCGTGTGCAACACACACCAACTCCCTCCTCCCTGCCATGCCTTGCTAACATCAGCCAGAACTCATCGAACCCTGCTGGATATAGGCGACAGTCGAGCCTACGATCGAACTACTATGCGCAAGCATCCCGACGATACAACTCGTCATGCACCTCCTCTTCGGTCGATTCATCGGCGGAGCCTCGAAAGAACGAGAAAATACATCTTCGAGTCTTGTGACGATCGGCGGCACAGGGCCAAAGTCAACCAACAGGAACAAGGTCCAGACGAAGTACGATCCCTTCAAGAGGCTACACGACAACGACTCGGTCGAGGAGCCCGTCCTGTGGCCCGAGTCTTGCATGAACGAGCAGAGCACACCGGTGGAGACGACAGTCTATGCAAAAGATGTTGGACCGGAGGCGATACCGTTGGATTCGATTGCTGTAAATACAAGGCATTACATGGAAAGAGTCTCTGAGGGAAAGTTATTGATTCAAGACACATTGATAAATCACTGTTCAACGGGAGAAATGGATTACAAAACTCTGACATTGTAACTCCTACGCGACTCATACACCAGACCAATTCTATAAATCCATGGAGGCTCCTGCTCCTACCCAGATCATACACAAAACCAAATCTTCAAACACGTCAAGGCTTCTCGGTTGATAAGAAGGCCAGAAGAACTCGTCAAAAAAAAAACGTCATCAGCTCAAGATGCTGAAACCAGACTGGGAGCGAATTGGCGCTGTCGGACAAAACCTAGCCACAGACCTCCTTGCGAGGCGTATGAAGCATGATGATCGAAGAGATGGGTCCCTTGGCCTGAATTCATGGTCAGTGCATATCATAGAAATATGGGCTGGGCTCCAACTCACTCCAGTGACGGGGTCAGTCTCAAATGTTGCAGCGAGACCATTAACAAACTCTTCATCTGGAACCTGAAACATGGTCCAGTTCTCCTCCCATGGCGTTCCTTCGCCGAGGATCACCCATCTCCAACAGTCTGACTTCAACTATTCCTCTTGGTTAGTTCACTCCATCTATGTCATGGGGAAAGCAAGTGCAGCACATACCATGATACCGTTCAAAGATCCATCCTTGGGTATCCCAATCTCAGCAATGCTCTCTCCATTTGGGCCATACAAGTCGAAACGGGTCGTTTCAGCATCCTCGGGCCAGTCTCTTCCATACCCCCCCACGTATCGATCTCTCTCGTTGTAACCCTCCACAAACTCAGCCCTGAGGCCAAGAATCAGCTTCCCGGCTGCGTTGGCGGGATTCTGGGGCGTATAGGCTGTGACTCGTGATAGCTTTCTCAATTCAAACTGGTGCTCTGCCCACGCAAGTATCTCGTACGGAGTGGAACTTTCTTCGAGGAGTCCTTCATCCAGCTGAAGGGGAAAGATGGGAGTGAACTTGGTCTGTGGAAGTTTCCAGATGCGAGGCGCGTCGTATGTCCAGAGGATCCTCTGAGCTAGAGGATGAGGGATTTCGCGAGGCAGAGGAGGGCACTTCTGCTAGATTGGTGCCTCTAGAAAACCAAGTCGCGAGATGACACCGTCCTGTATGATGTTAAGCTGAGCCCATCAAGTCCTGGATGATCAATACTTACCGAGCGAATCTGTCCTTCAACGCCCACCAAGCATTTTCCCTCTGAGACAAAAAGAGTTCTGCAATCCCCATCATAAACTAGTGGGTTACCGAGCCAGACGTCGAACTCTGACCGAAGTCGAAGCTGACGGCAGTTAGTCTCCTGAAACCTAGAACATGTGATCTTGTGAGGATGTGACAAAACTCACCTCGATTTTCTTGATCCCGGCATTTGGATTGCCCTCTGCCAAACCGTCCTGTCCAAAGAAAAGCTTCATCTCGGTTATCCAGTCTCCAGGCATCAGTTGTGTCGTTTCCACGTTGCCAGATCGTGTGCCAAAGACACGTTGGCTATCTCTCAAGGTGACACCAATACCAATGAGGAGGCCATCATCATTCCAAAAGGTTTCGAAGATAAAGGCTCCGAACCGACTGGTCTGCAACTCTCCCCCCGAATGAAGCCAAAACGTTCGGCTGATGTCGTCTTGTCGAGAGGCTTGAGTGGGGGCCACCTTGAACAAGATGGGTCGTTGAGTCTGTGCAACCATCTCCGTGTCTGGCTCCGAAGCATACTGGAGTTCCGAGAGATACTTGGCGTAGTTCGAAATCTGACGACAACACTGCCAGATACGTCGACGGTTTGCAATGGCGAGAAAGGGAGCTTCGACTCCGAACTTGGGCATCGTCACAACCTCAAGCCAGCCATACAGCTTCCTGTAGTCGATAGGTGTGGTCCATGTCTTGAGGCATGTCTCCAGGTCCCAAAGCCAAGGCATGTCGATAGCGATGCGCCATTTCCAAAAGTGGTTGCTCTGTGTGTCATTGTAGAATGGTCTCGAGACAGCTCTCAGAGACAGGAGGTCTTCATATGGAACTACGAGTGCGATCTCGCGAATGAGTTCGTTGGATAGCATGGAGAAGGGGTCGTTGTCTGGACTATGTCCTCGGGGTAGTGCCTTGCCATGGTAGTGACGGTACCGGAACCTACCCATGGCCAGCTTGTCAAGCAGGAGGTCGTAGAAATCATCAGCGAATCTTGGGCTGGTGACAAAGAACTAGTGATATCATCAGCATCTCATGAACAGCCTTTACACATTGCAACTCACCTCCTCGCCCGGGACAGGGACCCAATCCGTAGGCCCTCCCGGGGCCCATGTGATGGGGCCATAGTTGATATCGAGGCGCTCCAAGCGTCCTCCGTAGAGACCAACCATTGTGTCATAGAGCAGATCAGGATCAACTGCAGCAGACCAGTGAGCCATTTTGAGCACGTCAAAGCAGTCGCTGTGGAACGGAAACACGGCCGTCATGGTGGAATCTTGTGGATGGTAGCTAAGAAATGTTAGTGCAGGGGATAACAGCGTATGTGTGAAAGACTTTCCAGTAAGCCTCTGTTTCATCTGGCTGGTTGTATTCATCTTGAATTAATGTCAGTAATCATCGCTCGAGGTCTGAGTGTGGGCTGTCAACAAACCAAGACGAGGAACGAGAGTCAGTCGAAACTAGTGGTTGAGATTTAGCTTGGCTCATGTAACGGGAAACGAGGCTCACGCTGTGCTCGTAGGGTTCTGCTTCAGCAATAAAGCACCTGATAGTGTTAGCATGTCGCCCATCAGTAGACTCATTCAAAGCTCACCTGTCCTCCCCAGAGCCGTCTGGATCCCCAGTGGCATCTGGATTGTAACCCACACATTCTAGCTCAGTCAGCCATGACAAACTGTCTTCACTAACAAGACCAGGATCGAGGCTTTGGTCCTCATCATCTCGGTGCCATTCTTCTGGCCGATCGCGTGACCCATTGCCGTTCGTCGAGTCGTCAGTAAGGGGAAGCCCCTCGCGTATTCTGCGCACATGGTTTCGGCGTATGACCAAATCTCTGGGAGCAAAGCTTCCGATGGCTACGTCGTCGTTCAGAACGGCGCCGCATATGGCGCAGTAGCACGGGTACTCGCTCATTTCGCAGAATTTGTTGGTGAAAAAACAGAAACGGAGAGAAGAAGATGGAGATCAGGCGGGAAGTTGGGTGGGTAAACAAGCTGCACTGAAATTATCCGTATAAAGGGGGCAGTAATTCTCTTATGGAATAAGTCGGCATGAAAGGTTACATAATAGAGAAAAGGACGCCCCCTTACAGTCCTATGTTTACAGGTCAAAGACCGAAGAGGTCAAGCGCTGAGAGACAGCACTGACAAACACCGGACGAGTCCTCTACAGTGCGCATATTCTTTCACAGCACACAAATTCCGTTCCTTGCACAGTACCTGGGCTTTCATTTTCCAAAGGCCCGAGTCCTGGCAAAACAACACTGGTGAAATCAAAACACCTCTTCACATTTTCACAGTCCTCACCTCTACCCTCAGGCGCCTCTGGTTCTTCCTGGGCGTATCCTCCTTTCCTTTTCTTTCTGGCCCTTTCAAGTATCAAACCAGTCCAGAGCACTGGAACGTCATCTCCCCATCTTCTTTTTCGAAGAAGTTGCGGCGATGCCTCCTCCGGCGCTGCCTCCCTACGGTGTCTGGCCCAAGGTTGTCATCCCCAAGAGCCTGTTGCACCCTGAGAACATTCAAAAGCTCACAACCCCCCGGCGACTGGCCATGCACAAAGTTATTCGACATCTCACTCCACCAGAGCTTTCAACGATATCTCGAACCTCCAACAGCTCATCGCTTGGTCTCCTCGATGTCCTGCCCGCAGAGATTCTCCTCGAGGTGCTACAGCTCATCGACTTCCAATCTCTCTCTCGACTCCTACGAACCTCCCTCAGAGGAAAGGAAGTCGTAGAGGCATTCCGATTGTATCATGAGGTGATGAGACACTGCCCCAAAGTCCTGGCTGCGCTGGGAGAAACACGCCTTCTCCGACACCACTCTTCAGCTCTCGTTCGACAGGTACTCTCTGAACAGAAATGCGCCTCCTGCTTCGAGTTTGGTGGTTTTCTCTTCCTCCCAACATGCGAGAGAATCTGTCACGACTGCCTCGACAAGAACTACGCTTTCCACTTGACCAGGGTGTCCTTTGCGAAGAAGTGGTTCAACCTTACCGGCAAGGAGCTACGAAGAATCCCAATCATGCAAAGCATCCCCGGGCGTTATCAGTTGAGACCCGAAGCTAAGCGCAAGCATCGTCAATCCCATCGGCTTGTCAGCATCAAGCAGCTCTTGCAGCTGGCCATCGACGTTCATGGCTCTCCTGAGAATGTCGCCAAGCTCATGCCAACTGAGGACTCTGACATCGATGACTACGACTTCAAAATGCTCGAGCAGTTCCACAAAGCCCCCTTGCAGTCACCCGGTTGCGACCTATCCAAGCTCCCATTCGACTACTGCTTATTCGATCAATGGCCCGGGATGGCGGCCATTCAAATGCCTTCTCTAATCAACTCACACCGCGATTATGGACGCGAATGTCAAGGCTGCGACCTTCTTCTGAGAAGGAAGCGGCTCGGGATATTGCCACGCCAGGTGGAGGAGGAGTTTGTCCCGCGCGATCTAGATCCAGGAGAGGTACTTAGAGCGATGGCCTCTCGACTTCGACCACGGGCAGAGTTTGTAGAGCATCTCCGGCACTGCTATGGTGTTGCTTGGATGTTCCGTGAGGATGGGCCGAACTTGATACCTGACTATGAAGGGCAATGCTAGCTGTCAGATTGAAGATGTGATCGTGTGTGGCAAGGCAAACAAGATGTCAGGGATTTTCGAGGATTTCGCAACAGGGAAACGAATTTTGAAGGATCTTGATAATGGGATGTTGGACTGGATTCATGTCAGAGACTTTCGAGTATTTCACAGCAAGGCAACTGATTTCGAAGGATCTTGATAATGCGATATTGGGAGGGCTCATGTCAGGAATTTCGAAGGTTTCACAATGGGGCAACGGACTTGGAAGGGATTAGAGGGATACTGAACGAGTTCCATGTATGAGTTACGAGATGAACGAGTTAATACGAACTGTGGGAATGACAAAAAGAAGAAAAACACGTCTCTTGTGTCGAGTGCGTCTCTGTGTTGGTGGTGTTGAAGTCCGTCTCTTCTTTCATGGTTAGCATGGGCAAAAAATAGCCTCAAGGGCAAAAAAATGGTGGTTCCGCCCGGGATCGAACCGGGGACCTTCTCGGTGTTAACGAGATGCCATAACCAACTAGACCACGGAACCGTGGTGATTGGATGCTTGAAGAAGAAGTAGCGGGGCTCATACGTGCCAGTCCACGTGGGTCACGACTCCAAGCTTGAGCTTCATGACTACCCTAGAAAGCAGGCAGAGCTCAACCCTGCAAGCTCAGAGCTCGAGATTGACCTTCTTTTGTATGTACTCAATCATAATAAATGCATGGTAACTTTGTGACTCGTGGTTGAGTTGCAAGATCTTGTTTACGATGCACAATTTGGACTCTGGGCGCTGCAGCAATTGATCGAACCCATACAAATTCATGATTACCGATACATACAAATCCCGCTATGGAAACCTCTTCCAACCTCGCTGGCAACAAAACCCTGAAGCATACGCATGATCTCAAACAATTCCTTACAGTCCATTAGTCCGCTCCCTGTCCATAATCTCCTGCACCTGGTGGTTCTGCTGCTGCTGACCGTTGCTCTTTGAAGCGAGCAGCGAGTCAAGCAGGGAACCAATCTCGGGGTATATCCGCTCGATGGCCGCCAGGCCCTCCGGTCCCAGCTGGACCACGACGCCAAACATGTTGGCCAGTCTTGCCGCCTCTGTGCCGCGTGTGACGGCTGCCTGAAGATCCTGGATGTCCGTCTCTAGGCCTGTGGAGTTCTTCTCCGCTGCATCTAGATCTTCCGCCGCCCGTTTCAGCTCTACCTGCTGTGCACCTATTGTCGCCTCTTGCTTCTTGACCTCCTCGTTCTTAGCTGCCCTCCTCGAGTCATAGCTCTGTATCGCCTGTGCAATCTCGGGCGGCAGAGACATGTTGTTCTCCTGGAGGGCATGGAGTTGGGGTGCAATCGCGTCTTGCTGAGCAGTTTCCTCGAGGAGCCTGCGCAGCTTCTCTTGCGAGTCTGCGATGTCGTTCTGTATATCCTGCACCCGATCTTGAGCTGCGCGAAGCTTGCTCATGGCCTCCTGGTGTGTTGTTCGGTGTGGAAATATCTCCTTTTGGGCAACAACGAGGTTAGCGCGTATTGACCGGACGTAGCCATCGATGGCTGCGGTGTAGACATTTGTCGCGGACTGGAGGGGCTCGTAGAGATTGCTGGCATCGAGGGACCGAGTCGCATTAGACTGTTTGTGTTAGTGGTCTGATTGTCGCGATAGCAATTTATAGTAGGGACTTACTGTAGCGTTTGGGCCAAAAGATGTAGCCATTTGGTAAGTAGCCATTGGTGAACTGAACATCATCAAACTCTGCGCTGCAGACAAGCGCGAGCCTTCTGGAGAGCTGTGGCGGATGCGCTTCTCTATCGGACTGGGTATCGTGGTAGCAGGTCGCTTGAGCGTTCTGACACTGCGAGGAAGAGGAGGAGATGGAGGAAACTCGGAGGCAACAGTAATAGATGAAGCCATGTGCTCCTCGCTCTCCTCTGAGGAAGTATGGCGACGCGATCGAGAAGGATCGGTGGGCGAGTCTGGAGCGCTGTAGTTTGTCGTTCTTCGTCGTCGTCCTGATCGTCGCTCGACGGTACCGCTATCATCGCCAGTTCCATCATCTTGAAGATCTCGAGTTGGCGACTGTGGGAGTGTTCGCACGAAACGCTTCTTTGCTGCATGGACATCCTGTGCCATCAATTTACCAGCATAGGAAGGTTTCCGATCGCGCGCAAGGGACTTTCGCAGCTCCCCCTGGAGATCCTCCAAGGTGTCTCCGGGATTCCTCGCGACATGATCCGCGACCAGCGCCAGGTCCTCGAGCAGGTTAATGGCCCACATCTTGGGAGGCGCTTCAGGGACTATGTCCCAGGGCCAGACACCCATGGCCTTGTATATGCGACGAGCAGCTCTTGCGCCACGAGTCTGGAGATATCCCCCATGGGGTTCTGGGATGCGGATCGTGTCGATGTTATCGTGGGGACCATCAGCCTCGGAGGTCGGCGCGTTGGGTTTGGTGGTCGGCATAGCGCGAGATGGTCGCAGGAGGAGGTCTATGGCATTCAATTGGACCTCTCGGGCGTGTAGTATCGCAGACGGCAGAGAAGCGTATACGGAGATCCCAACCGCGGGCAAAAGCCGGGCTGGCGGGTGGTGGTGAACAAGTTGTTGACTCCTCGATTCCCCAGCCACGCATTCATCATGGGGCGTGTGACTGGACTGGTGCTCGCGAGAACATCATCTCATGCAAGATCACGTGACTACAAAAGCTCTCCCCGCAGTCATGAACTCATGATAGTGTTTGACGGCAATGGGCGGCTTGTATCAGGGTTGTAGACGTGTCTGAAACCATGGAGAGGTTATGCGATGCCTCATTGACCTTTTTACTAGAGATTTTGACTTGTTTCTGCTGTTTTGTGGTGAATTGTAGATAAACAGCCTGCTTGTTTGCTACGCGAGAACTGGCACCGTGCGTAAAAAGCAAACATTCCTTTATTCGCCTGCTTGGGGTTTGGCTGGGGATGCGGAGAGGACCTCGACATTGAGCCACGAGGGGCATGGAGAGAGGAGGCTAGACGAGAAATTTAATCTCCATTTGGCTGTACTATCTCAAGAGACGAAGCTCATGAATCTCAAACAGTCATACACAGCGCTGTCGTGGACTGAGGGTACAGTGTGCTACACCCCTGCCACTATGCACTTTTGAGACCTTAGCGAGGTGGCGTCCAGGGACGCGTGATGGCTGCCGCGCTGGACGACAAGAGGATATTTCTTTGTTATTGTCACTTCCACAAATCACTCTGTGGCATTTGTTCTCAAGGGCTGAGGTACGAGTTGTTGGTTCGAATCCTGGAAATACTAGGTTGGGCTCATTTTCAGCCTGCAACTGGATCTCATGCATCTCAACCTGAGTATTCAGGCACAGGTTGTTCAGGCACTCTCACTTCGACGATGATGAGAATATCTACAGTTAATAATGCAGTAAATATCTCTTATCGAAGAGAATGAGTGGGCCGCTGGCTACTATGACTCCGTATTATCTCTTGCTACGCAAGCTACAAGCATGAAATCATCAAGCAATCCAAATGAGCAGACTTCTCCTCACCAAGGTAAACCAGGAAGAATAATTTGATAACTCTTGGCTTTCTAAGGTAATTGAATAATAAGGCAGACTCGGTGTGTGTGTATTTTCATATCCGTTTGCACATATCTCTTGTCTCATGTGGAGCAAACACACAGCATGATCCAAATCATAAAGGACATTATGATGACGAGGACTCAAAAAAGCTCTTTATTCAATTGGTAGCTCTGAGCATCAAAAAGCCAGCTATCGTGGTCCAGAGGTCTTTCTCTCATTACGACCCCATATCTACTCCTGTTTAGTTCACACTCAAGCCTTGTTGACTCTCTTGTAAAAAGTTTGGATCGCATCCGTGATGAGCGCCTTGACCTTGGTCGAATCCAACTTTTCCTCACGGTTAAAGGTGTAAAGGCCGTTGACCTCTTGCTCGATATCGGCACTTGAGATGGTTAGTTAAATCCAAAGACGACCAAGATTCGATGTACTCACAGCTGTGTGTAGACAAAGGCACAGCAGTATCCTCCCTCGATCGTACCCCTGACCAACCTATCGATCCTCTTGACCAAATCATCAGGGTTCGTCGCCGTCGTGTATCCCCAGTCACGGTTCTCCTCTCCGTCTTCCTTCTTGGCGGGGGCAATGTTGACTCCGCCAAACTCGGTGTTCATGACTGGTGCACCGGGCTTGTGCTTTGCACCCTCTTCAACACCAGGGATGGCAGGCACAAACATGTCTCGACCGGCCTTTTGACCGGTGATGAGGTCGAGACTGGCGCATGTCTTTTCGAGCTCTGGGCCGTCGCTGTAGTCGTGGAAGGTTGTGAGGTCGGTGATGACGTGCTCCCAGCCGCAGTTGTCGTTGATGCTTCGAGTGTTGTCAAGACTCCTGTTTATGTGTGAGTGAAATTCTAAAGATAGCTGTGGGATTCTTACTTGGTTAGGTAGTAGAGTTGTCGGATGTGGTTGCGCTGGTCAACATTGTCCTTCAGAGAACCGTAGCCCCAGCTCTCGTTGACAAGAGTCCACGTCACGACGGATGGACGGTTGATAACCAGCTTCACAGCCTCAGTCCATTCAGCGTTGAAGCGCTCCGCATACTCCTGGCTGAACTGGTAGGCGCTGGCCATCTCACCCCAGACGAGGTAACCAAGCTTGTCGGCCCAGTAGTAAAAGAGGGGATCTTCAACCTTCTGGTGCTTCCTGCAACCGTTGAGACCCATCTTCTTTGCGAGCTCAATGTCAGTCTTCAGGCTCTCCGGGGTCGGGGGCGTCATGAATGTGTCGGGCCAGTAGCCCTGGTCCAAGCATAGAGCCTGGAAGTAAGGCTTGTCGTTGAGTCGCCAGAGACCATCGCCCTTGGTCCAGTCGATAGATCGCATGCCAGTGGTGGTCTTGACTTCGTCAATGACCTTGTCGGAGCTGTCATAGAGTCGAATGACGAGGTCGTATAGCTGAGGGTGTTCAGGAGACCAGAGAGCAACACCATCCCGCCAGCAGGAGTCATTGTCTAGAGGAGCATCTTGTAGAACCGACTGAGGCAGCTTGGACCTCTGCTCTTCAGATAGACGCACGCTCAAGTCAACAGCAACGGTGTCGGTCTCCCGGGGAAGAGACTTCTTGTCTGACTTGGCCACCGGAACACCAGCAAAGCTGGCCTCGAGCTCAACGCTGTAGTCCTTTCCAACTCGTCTGCCCTTGGTAACTATGGTACTGCGGAGTTGACCTCCGTGGATGTCGTTGGACTTGATGACGGTGCCAGAAGAGCTATCGGCGATGCGAGCCGAGGGAACAACCTCCAGCCAGACTGACTGCCAGATACCACCAGAGGGAGTGTAGAAGATACTCTCGGGCTTGGCACCCCAGTACTGCTTGCCTCGCGGCTGTGTCAAGTCATACGCAGAGTCGTAGACACGGATGGTCAGACGGTGAGCAGACGACTGTCCAGCAGCGTTCACAGCGTCAGTGGTGTCAATCTCGAAGGGAACGTGTCCACCACGATGACCACCAATGTACTCTCCATTCAGCCAGACAGTAGCCTCATAGTCGACAGCACCAAACCTCAAGACAAGGCGATGCCCCTGCTCCTTCTCCTGCGCACTCCGCAGGTCAGAGATGGCACGCTCGTACCAAAGAACCTCATGAACACCTCGCTCATTGATGCCCGAGGCAGGAGACTGGAACACGAAAGGAACCTTGATCTTGGTCTTGGAGTTTGTCGTCTGAGAAGAGGCGGAAAAGACATTGTTCTGGATCAAGGCCTGGGTGTCGCCCACGATCTTTTGAACGACGCTGTCGCTCTCTGCCGAGGCGCCCTCGCGCCTGTTGGAGGTGGTGACGCTGACCTTTTCAGGAAGGCCACTGCGCTGCCAGTTCTCCGCGAGACCAGTGTCGGCGTCGTCAAACAGAAAGTCCCATTGTCCGTTGAGGGTCTCCCAGCGAAGGGGGTTGCGTTCAAAGTCTGGGCGAGGATACGACGTCATCTTGGAGGGGTAAAAAGTGCAGGTCAATTCAGGGAAGAGAAGAGTCACAGGAAAACTGTTCAAAGATCTAAACGAACGAAGGGACAGCTTTTTTGTGTCTTGAGAAAATTCACCGACCGTTTCGCCGCGCGTCGATCAGTCAAGTTTTGTTTGATGGCTGATGAGGGGGTTACACGCTGCAGCAAAGGGAACCACCTCTCTCTCTCGTAATCATGCTGTGGGGCTGCATCTTCCTGTAAGATGCTCGAGATGATGGTGGTGAGCTCCATGATTGAGCAGCAGCTGTTGGAGATCTTCAGGCCATTCTCCACAAGGGTGTCTTAGGCTGGTGGACTTTTAGTGGTTCAGCGGTTCTCTGACATTCTAAGAAGAGACAGGTTGTGATAAGGAGTGTGATAAATGAATCGGGAGAGAGCAGAGTTGCTCGTGTGGTTCCCCAAATTACGAAATTAACACTATGAGATGCAGTTCGCTTCCTGCCCACGTCTAACTAGGTATAGGTATAGGTAATGACTTTCTTGCTTGACTTTGGTATCACTTGGTAAAAACTTCAAAACGCTTTGCTTTCACTCCTTGAGGATGCTCGCCCCCTCCTTGGTCGTCGACCCGCCCGAAGAGTCGCTCACCCGTCGGATCGTCTTCCACGCATCCGACAGACCACCTGTCGACTCGATGAGCGAGTTGCGCCCAAAGTTGAGCGTGCCCAGGCTGGGAGATGGGCTCGGGTTGTTGGCCTCGATCTTGGTGTGCACGCCCAGCTGCTGTCCGTCAAAGGGGTTTGTGCGCGTCGCGCTGCTGGAGCTGCTGCCGAGGCGTGGTTGTTGGTCTTCGGATGTTCGTCGTCGGCGCCAGAGGAAGAAGGCTACGGCGAGGGCTAGGAGGACTCCTAGTACGACACCGACTGCGATGCCGGCCTTTGCGCCCGTGGAGAGGCCACCCTTGCTGCCGGAGTCTCCTTCGCTGCTGTCGGATCCCTCCTTGCCCGAGCTCTTGTCGCTTCCGCTTCCGCTTCCACTTCCACTGCTGCTTCCGTCGCTGTCGTCCTCATTGTCCTCGCTGTTGATATAATCCTCCGGGTTTCCCTCGGTATCCTCAATGCCTCCGGTACTGGACTTCCTCTCCTTCTTCTCGTGGTCTCCAACGCATGTGTACTTTCCCTCGACAATCTTCTTGATGTTCGCATCAAACCAGCTGCAGTCCATGGACTTGTCGCCGGAAACCTTAAAGTCGCCCTCGACCTTTTCCAGGTTGAAGAACTCGACGTTGGTGAAGGGGCCCTTGATCGAGATGGTGCCGGCGGTCTTGAGAGCGTTGGCCGTGATGTTGGTGAGCTGATCGTTACCAGTAATGTCCATCTCCTGCACATAAGTCACTCTGGGAAGAGCAAAAGTCGTCAGAGACGGGTTGTCCTCGACGGTGATGGTGCCTTCGAGGTTCTTGATGAGGGGGATCGTGAGGTCCTCGAGCGCCGTCGACTGGAACGTGAGAGAACCCTTGACCTTGCTCAACGACGCAAACCCAATCTTGCTCACATCTTGAAACGTCGAAGTCGCCGTAGTGTTGCCGTTTCCGAGAGACGAAAGTCTGGGGAACATGACAACAGGCTTGTCACCGTTGGCGGTGACCGAAATGGTTCCCGCAAACTCGAGAGCCGAGAGGCTAATCTTGGTGAACGCGGTGTTCTTGTAGATGGTAACGTCTCCCTTGACGGTCTTGAGCTTGGGGAAGGAAATCTTCTCCAGAGCACCGTTTTGCGAAATGGCAAAGCCCTTGTTCGCTGTCGTGAAAGCACCAGCCACAAGCTCCTTCATATCACCGTTCGCATCGATGGAAAAGTCGCCATCCACGGTGTGAATCCCATTCAACTCCAGCTCCTCCACTTGAGTGTCAGTGACTCTCATCATAGAGCCCACTGTCACGTCCTTGTCGTGCTCAATCGAGAGCTTGGCGAATCCTCCAGTAATGACATAGTTCTTGCCCACTTCCTCCAGCGCTTTGAAAGACAGGTCGAACTCGTCGATTGTGCTGCCCGAACCAGTGTTCCATATCGAGAGCTCGCCTTCAACAGTCTTGAGGTCGGATGCCGTGACCACCGTCTTCTTGGAATGCTTGTGAGGGTAGATGACTAGGTCGCCAGTGAGAGAGCTGATGTCGCCGAGGTCGACTGAAGCCTTGTCGGATGGCCATGCGGATGGGTCGCTATCGAAAAGGAGAGACAATGAGCCGTCGATGTCGCTGCAAGAGGAAACTCCTTTGGCATCGTCGGGTGAATCGATAATAGTATAGTTGCCAGAAATGTCGCAGTCTAGACGCGTCGATACCGTGTCAGCCGAGACAACACTGCCAGAGCGTGTTAGTCAAACTCACCAGCTGCTGCGAAACGTCCTGAGAGGAGGAATGACATCGCCACAAAGGCGATGCAACTTGTCGGAGCCATGATAGACCCTTTGCCCTCCGATGTAACTCCCTGGAAGCCTACAATGAAGTTATCCAGAGACTCGGCCAGTTGACAAGAGACCTGACCACTGACCGGGAGGGGAGGAGCTTTCTTTTATTCATCTCGCCTAAAAGCTACCCCTGGTCCTTGCTCATCCCCTCGGCGCGGCCATTTGTGCCAGCAGGGTAAATTAGCTCACGCCACGATGCGACGCTAAAAAGGGGTCCTCTCCGGTGAGAGCGGCCAAGGGGAAACCGGACTGGTTCACATTGGGCGCAATACCCGAACGTTTAGACCATGCGCTCTTTGACGAGAGGGACGAGACAGGTCTAACGAACGGGGTGGCTGACGATAGTGTTGATTCTGAGCTCATCATCTCGGCATCTGCGGAGGTTTTGGCAGCTGAAGGAAGAAGGTCGATTGTTGAAACATTGCTTCTAGCTGCCGCTAGCGGCCTTCTTGGCTGATGCAGTGGAAATGAGCAGTGTGACGGCATTGAGCGAGATATTGGTCCTCCGTCATTTTTTATGCGACAGCCCCAAGCTTTGACGGGGGATTATGCACGCTTATTTTTAGACATTCTGAAACTGTCGCAGGTGATGGAGAATGTGAATGGCTATTGCGTGTGAAGACAGTGTTCAGGAGGGTGAGCAACTGGCGGTAATTAGGCCTGCAGGCAGCCAGTGACAGCTGTGCATTCCTCTGTGATTAAGGCTTCATTCACCAACTCGCAGCCTTACGCCGGCACTTGGTAGGGAATGGTGGATACTGTCGATCTGTCTGACAAGTCTGCGATGGATCGTTTCAACAATCTCTTTGTTGATCAGCATCTCGGCAGAATTCCCAGCGGCCCAACGGATCTAACCTCTCGAGCCGACGAGCTGCTTTCGCTACCAACTTGGTGGCCGAAATGAGCACCTCTCGGCTGCGGAGACACCTTGCAAGGCTGTCCTGGAGCAAACACATTCGGGAGAACAAACGGGTATAAATAGGCCATTTCCATTCAATTATTCCGTCTGTTAGCTGCTTCAAAACATACAAAATGGTTTGGCCTTTAGTTTGTTAAGGACGTCTTTGGGCGGATCTCATTCTAATCGCAACCGTAGGCTGTAGCTCAGCGCCTGACTGCCAGGCTATGAAAACCTAGCCCCCGTACGTCCGCCACCATAGATGCCTGTTGCCCCAGTAGTCTTCGCGGATGCAATTCGTTTGACTGTGACGAAAAGTTAGCACGAGTTTTTACAATGCACCTGGAATACAAACATTGTTCCCACGTAAAAGGCTCACGGAGGTCTTTGACAGCATCCCTCCATACGCGAGCGCACCAGCAAGCGACAAGCAGATCAAACAGCTTCTCCTCAACTGTTGCTTTGATCGAAAGTCGAGGCGGCTCCTCAATCTTACCCTCTTTGTCGCGTTGCGGGCGTGTTTCCTCAGCAATGACCTTGCCTTCAGCATCCTTCCAAATTATCGTGTTTGCCTTGCCTCGACTAAGTCGTCCTCGTAAATCAGTATCTGCCTTGAGAAGTCCCTCAACCTTGAAAGAACTGGTAGACAAGCCCTGCGACATTGTAACTTTAGGAAATGTCCGCTTCTGACTCGTCTGCCCCGTGAGAACGACATTCTTTCCATTTGCGCCTCCAAATTCGCCTTTGCTCACAAATTCGGGTTTAAAGTCGTATATGTGGTCGAGGCGAGACTTGAGACTTGGTTCCGAGTCTGAGTTGGCGACGCGATATCGCATCTTTTCGATGCCATAGACATCGGTCGTGTTGTAGGCCGGGGGACTGTTGAGCTCGTATAGCGTGTGAGAGGGAGCATATGCGGAGTAGATGCGACAGTCGTCGAGGACGAGAATGGGTAGGTCTTCGGGTGCAGATGGTTCTTGTTGATGAGTGGCATCATAGGATGGAGGTTGTTCGACCGGTTGCTGTTCGACTTCTGCAGAGCTCTCGGCCGCCTTGAGGTTTTCCTTTTCCATGATTGCTTTCTGCCTAGTATATGCGTGTAGTGAGCGCGTAGTGATGAGTGAATTAGATATAGACCAAAATCATGTAATTGAATGTCGTGCGAGTAAGCTTAAAGACAACGTTCCACGAGGAAGCGATGACGTATATATACACTGGCGCTGGAAATGCAGCCTGAAATCCATCTGGGCCCGAATCAGTCCAAGGTCATGAGATTGTCCGAGTTTGGTAAATCCGAGCGCTCTGTGGTCGTATTTAAAGAGACCTTCCAGTCATGGCGTCTTGGCAGGCGTGTAAAAGCCTCAAACTGTTCGTGCTGCGGACCAGTTTAGTTGACGCCCGGGTAAGCTGTATGGCTGTGTGCAAGCGAGCTCAGAATCCTATGTCTTGGCAGACTGCCTTTTGGCATATTACGTTGTTTACTTGTGCCTAACCGGTTCAGTTGATCGCGGAGATGAGTGACCTATGATTTGCGCTTCATGTAATCGAATAGGATCAAATATAACAATCGCATATATTTTTGAGAATATCAAGACGTTGGTGAAGGAGGGCTTATCTGGCAATTGTTATATCTCTTCTTAATAATCCTTGGCATGGTAACGCGTACAAGCTCAGCCTAGTTTGTACGACTCATTGTCGAGATAAAAACTTCTGCGTATTACTCCATTCGCCATAACCCTTTCATTAACCTCGCATGAGATGTCGTTGGCTATTTCTCTCATTGCTCATCAGCCATATAGGGCAGATAAGATGTGTCTTCCTATTTTCAGTAAGACATAAAGTGTCTTCAGCGGTTCCCCCGCTCTTAAATCTATATCATCTAGGCCAAAAATAATCATGTTTGGTGTTAAGTCGAAGGTTCATGTCTTGTCGTTCTGTAGCCATTGGCCGGACTGCTTCCTGGGAGACGGTTCAGCTCAAGATAAGTTTCAAACAGTAAAGTAATGAATATTCCCACTATGCTCACAGTAAGAAAATATCATGCTCAAGTCTTGTTCTGAGGATTCCTAATCTTTCTAACCCCCTACGACTCCTTGAGCCACGAATGCCACCGATGCCGGCACGATGAATTCGGACGCCGCAAACCTCAACCGACCGGGCCGGCCCGACTAATGCAACTCTGGCCCGACGGATTAATAGAAACGCTACTTAACTTGCAGACGAAACTTAAGCATACTAAAGCTCTTTTCGACTTGAGTTAAGCTTTTGGCACTGTAAACTGAGTTGGCGCTGAGCTCGGGCTAGAGAGGCCAGAGTTGAGGCTGGGGAAGGTGTAAATGTGAGGTATACGAGAGACTGCGAAGGCGAGACGCCAGACAGAATCATCTCGTTGCAGCACATTCTTTTTTTTTTTTTGTCTGCACATAGTCCTACCTACAGATTAGGCAGAAACAAGGCTCGTTTCTCTCTTTGGTCTTAAGTAGTATGGAATAATGCAATCAAATTCAACTATCCGAGCAAAGTACCTCAGCCGCACATCTGGCGGGGTCATCATGCCTCTCACATCAGCATACCCTCCTGATAAAGTCTCACCATGACCCGTTGGCACTCAAAACCTTGCCCATCCCCAATCGTCTGGGTCGGTGAGGATTCCGTCCCAAGATGCAAAGCCTGCGGTGCTTCCGCTCATGGGCAGCTCAAGCAGCTGAGAGAGCATCCGTCTAACGCGGTTTCTCCGTTACCGCCCGATGAAAAGACAGGGCAGCTAAATCTCTACTGGCCATCGAGCGTACAATATACCCGAGAGAAGACTGAAGTATTGGCAGAAGAGATTCGCGACTCTCTTCAAATTTCCGACACGCCTTCAAGGACGCAACAGTCTCTCGTTCATGGGCGCACTCTGGAAAGAGACGAGTTTCGGCTTATATGCCTCACGGCTGAGGAGAAGGAATTACCAGTAGACGTGGTTCACCTTTCGTTGGAGACGCATAACGATGGCAATTTCCCCGACTATGAGGCTGTCTCTTATACCTGGGGAGGGGAAGATGGAGACGACACCTTGTGAGTGTGAATCCAAAACATCTCATAGCTTGCATATCTCAAACCTTCTCTAGGCGCCACCCAATCTACATCGGCGAGCACTGGGACATTCTTCTCCAGACTCGCAACTGCTGCGCAATGCTCCGCTATCTCCGTCCTTCGAGGGGAATACGGATGATCTGGGTCGACGCTGTATGCATCAACCAGGAAGACATGCAGGAGAGAGGTGACCAGATTGCCAAGATGGGTCAGATCTACACGGGATGCTTTCAAGTCTTTCTCTGGCTCGGCGATGATATAGCGTTCAAGAAGCCCGGTGTTCATCCTCCACGGCTTCCTCTCCACGAGCTCGAAAACCTGAAGGAGCTCCAACTTCCAGCAAAGACAGAACCAGTCAACATCCAAAGCCTTTTCGAGAGACGATATTTCAGCAGGGTGTGGATCATCCAAGAACTCATCCTGCCGTCCCGCATCGTCATACCCATCGGAAACAAGATCTTTTGGGTTGACCCTTCCACACGCACGCACCTTGAACGTCTGCCGAGCGGCGACGGGCTATGGAGGGAGACCGGAGTACCGTGGTTCCAGCATGCAACCCGGGGCTCGGTCATGCAGGAGAATCTCTCCCAGTTCATAGCGCTCACCTGGAAGAGTCAGTCGTCGGACATCCGGGACAAGGTCTATGGAGTAATGGGCCTCTTCTCTATGAAGGAGAGTATCCAGATCCGGCCCGACTATGGAATATCTCTCCAGCATCTCCTAATCGGCTTCTTCGCCCACTATATCATCAGCGGAGGTATACCTGAGTTGCTCTTCCAGGCAGCGGGTGCATCAGTTGAAGCCGGCATGCCCTCTTGGATGCCCCGCTGGAAAGGAGACGCCTGGGGGGACCTGTTTAGTAGCAACAGCGGAGAGTATCTGATCGAGACACGAACGAAGGATTTTCTTACTGAGATGAAGAGGTATTTGCAATCAGAACCGGATTGGCAGTCCCGTGAGAGAAGAATGGAAGGGTCTTCTAGCCCAGCCATCCCAGCAAGGGCCAGGCTCCAACTACATCAAAACGGAACAGAGCAAAAATTCCGCGTGGTGTGGCTCATGCCCTTCGACATTGAAAGCGCCAATCGGGGAAATAACGTCTTTGACAGGAGGCCTTGGCACAAAGGTGCGACAGTAGACGCCGATAATGGGGCCATGTCCCTCTACCTGACTAGACTGATGTCGACCAGAGTTGGCTTTGGAAAATGCGAACATCTAATGAAAGGATGGTACCAGATCGAATATGTCAAGGAATCCGGCGTCGTGGATTACATCTTTGTCTTGAGTCGAAGCCAACTGGACAAGGTAGTCGAGGTTGGGGATGACATCTTTTTCCTCGACACCAATGTCGGGACGCCCATCTACCTGATTCTGCGCAAGACGGACAGCCCTGGGGAGTTTCTTCTGATAGCCGTCTGTCCTCAGCTAATCTTTGCTTTTGCGGCAAGGACCTCCAAGCCCCTCCTCACGGCGGAAAACGTTTCCCTTCATTACCTCCAGAGGAGCCTGTACGCCGACTTGAGGCGTCTGCGCAGGTTCTATAACCACGAAGTATCTGGCAAGGTGGACGATGAATTCCAGAGCATCCGAAAGCGGTTTCTCTTCCCGGGGAGGCGTGGAAACGTCACGTTCGAAGAAGTGTTGCCTCTCCTGCTAGGAATTGCAAGAGACGAGCACAAGCAAAAGTTCAAGTCGTGGAGGGGCTTCCAGGAGCTCTATCTGGAATCGATCAACCCCAAGTTCCAGCCGCGCGTGTCCAACGGGTTTTGCGAGCTAACCCTCGACGCAGAGGACGACGAGGAGATTAATAATCTGGTAGACTGCTTCGCGTATGGCACCAGAGAGATGAAAGGCTGGACCAAGGGGTCGCGAGCAAAGTTGTGGTCGCGGACAAAGTTGCCGGGCAAAGTTGTGCTAAAACGCGACATGAGCGTCATCGGACCGGAGCTGAGGACCATGGTTTATACCTCAAACCGCCCGACTGGTTTGAATCTTGTGAAGCTGTTGGACAGTCTGGTGGATAGACTTGACGATGCGGATGTTGGAGAGCGCATCATGGCGGGGCCGGTTGAGGAGGACCACTTCCGAGGCGGAACACATTTTGGGCTTGATGAGGTGTTTGAGAAGTTTGAGCTTGATGGGAGTACCTTTAGAGTGCGTATAGTATAAGATGGATAATGGGCCTTTCTAATAACCCCTGCCCTTAAAGCTGAATGCATTCTTCTATTTACTTTTGCTGCCACTTGCCCTAAAACTCCTCTGCAGTCAATCCGACGTTTCGCTCCTTGGCGAGCCGTAGAAGCTGTTGACCGATGGCCAAATCCATTACACCCGTTCCCACACTCTTGTAGATGACGAAGCCAGTCTCTAGCCACTTTGTCAGATCAGCTGGCTTCTCAGTGTTCTTTGTCTGAAGAAGCTGGCCAATCTCCAGCATCTTGTCTGTCGGAATCTCAGCCTTGACCAGCTCACCAGCTTCTTGCAAGCATCCGTCACGACTGTCGACAGCAACAGAACCTCCTTGGTATCCGGAAGAGGCGAAAACGCTAGAGGGGTCCACCACCAGCTTCAAGAGCTCAGGATCGATTTCTTGCATGTCCAGTCTATAGGAGCCAATGGCTGCAAAGAACCGTGTCTTGCTCAGGGCCTTCTCGGAAGTCAGGTACTTGGCGGGGAACAAGGGTTGTGTGCTCGGTGTTGTGAAGAAGAGGACGTCAGCATCGACCACTAGCGACTCCAAGGCTGCATCGCGGTCTCCTTGGGGATCAAACGCCTTGAGGTCGATATGAGAGGGCCATGGTGAGTTCTTGTTAGACTTGAGCGACTCAATAAGCTCTTGTGTTCGCTGGGCAGATCGGTTGACGATGGTGACGCTCTTGATGTCCTTTTCCTTGAGAAGTAGGGCCAATCGGATATGCCAGAGGGCCTGTTTGCCCGCGCCAAACACCACAATGTTCTCGGTGTTTTTGCGGAACCGATAAGGGAGCATGGAGCCCAGAGCCGTGCGGAAAGCTGTGAGAGCGGCGGCGTTCAAGGTGCCGATAGCCTGGCCCCTAGCATCGCATAGAGTAAGAACACTCTTCAGACCGGGCTCAGACGGCTTAAGCTTCTCAGCTGGGGTGATGCCGACAATCTTGACACCCAAAAGCTGGTCGGTGGTTCCGGGCATGAACAAGCTGACTTGATCATCTCGGCTGACGACGGCGCGATGCGGCTGATACTGCTGCTCATTATTGCACGAGTACTGAATAAGGGCTCGCTCAAGGGCATTGGCAAGGTCAACAACATCCGAAGACGACAAGTTGTCGAGGATGTGGTTAACGTTGTTGTCTGACAGAACAGTAAAAGCCATGATGTCTTTGTTGTGTTGTTGCTGAGATGGATGGTCAGAAAGTTGGCCCAGCACCAGGTCTATAAGAAGCGAAAGACGTCCAATAAAACTGAGGCCTTTATCGATGAGGAAAGACATTCCGGCATCGGACTCGGGCTGTGTCGGCTTTACCAATAAGCGTCATGTCAGAATCCATGCTTAGGCGGGGAAATGCCATGGAATGTCGGGACATGGGGCCGACTTTTGAACCTGCTGAGATTAGAGGGAACTTTCCCATCACATCGTCTGGATATACTCTCAATTGTATATACATATAATTGACTCGATGGATTTATAGATAAAGGCTGTAATTGTTGTAGAATTGAACTCTCTGTACCTCTCGCGGAGACATGCCTGGACAACCAGGGGCATTCAGTGCTGACTATCTCCTCGATTGCCGGAATCGATTACCTGTTTCATAAACTCCAAGATAACCACATTTTGCTCACATTTGTAAGCTGTCTGTTGCTACACGGCCTACCTATCTGCTCGGATGCTCCCTCCGCGATGGCTCGAGCATCCCGAGCGACGCCCTTCTTTTGACTTGAGTCGGTCCGGGCAGGGACATTCCGTCGTTTTATTTGCCTATTAGACCATGAGTCGGCTGTGTGAAACAGTCTACAACCATAATTTGCGATAGGACTAGTGTATTATTTTAAAGTCTTTAATTCAGAAGCGCACCCATGGCTATCCATCATCTATTCGAATTTCCAAAAATATGTTACAAATCGCAGCTAGTTGTTTCGCGTCAGAGGTGACATCTCTGTTCTGATTACAGAACTATCGATTGAGATGAAAAGAAAGAAAAAGAGTCAAGCTATAACCCTAGCAGGGGATCAATGTCGATAGCGGTCGTCCTCCCCCTGCTGACTCGGCATCTCGTAGCCCTGCTCAGTGGGAAAGGTAGTGTCTAGCTTGTGAATCTCGTGCTTCAACGACCTGGTTTTGACACCAACAAGAAGCAGAATCAGGGTAACAAGCATCTCCGGCACAACACTAAGGCACACTTCGACCGCCTTGGAGGTTAAAAAGCCTGAGGTTGGGTCTGAGATCTTGAGCTGGAGGAACGCAATGGCGTAGCCAAGTCGGAGGCCGGTGAGCGGCATTGTCAACAAGGTACCATTCAGGAGCTAAAGGTGACGACCTGTTAGTACTTGTGCGTCCAAAACATATGATAAGACAGGCTTACCAGTCTGCCACCCGACATTGAGGGCACAGGTCCAGCCACCGACGTGGATCGAGACTTTGCAAGAGACCATAAAGCCCAAAGCACCAGGAGTACCCAAGACAATGCGACTAGAGCAGATGCAACCTTGAGAAGTATCTTCATAGTCGATACAGACTCCCCCTTCTGCAAGTTTATGACGGAAATAATGATCAAGACCATGGCGATTCCGACAATGGTGTGATATTGGATCTCGAGTAGCACGTCTAGCTTTCTGTTGAGTCGAGGGTTCGTCGCTCGTCGTCTGGTATGGAACGTTACTCAAGAGTTCTTGACGAGAAATAGGAGTACTCACGCTTCATGAAGAACGCCTGACGCTGCTAGGAGCAAAGGAGAAAGACCAATGCTGCTGAGAATAATCGAGCCGGTTGAGGTGTTAGAGCCATGAAGGCCGATGCCTCCGGTGACAATCCTGAGAACACAAAAGATCTGGACATAGAGCCAGCCTAGAAAGCCAACCTTGCCATGCTTGAACAAGCAGTACAAGGCAGGTTGGGCAAAAACGATGTAGATGGCGAGCTTGGCCGCCGAGATGGAGTCTGTCATGTTGTGGATGTGGTGTAGGATTATTGGATGCGTGCAAGATGGAGTTCGGGGTAGAGAATGGCTTGCTGGATATTTTCGATAAACATACCGCGTACATAGCGATCATATATAGTTAATCTCTTGGCTCCCTCTTCTCTGCATTCTCACTCATTCCTGTCGCTAACTTGGGTGTGTTTCTGATGATCTGCAGGCGTAGGGCTGCGCCACGCACACCCAAAGAGTTAAACGATAGCGAGGATGGCAGGGTCCTTAGCGTGGTGGGCGGTTCATTTAATCCAGACCTCTTAAATGAGAGAACCGGTAGGGCTGTTTCATGGGCTGCGTAATCTCGTCGTTTATTCAGTCGTCATCAGTGAATATTACTTGCTCTTCCAACACTTGCTTCGGCCAACGAAGGCACCCCTGCCATTCCTCCGGCACCACCTCGATGATTGCCTGCAGCTCACGGGGCCCAGAATCCCCAATCCACCAGAAGCTGCGGAGCATGGCCATCAAGGCAAAATAGTTGGCCAGAATGGCAAGTGCCCGGGGACGTTGCTCCTCCACAAGGTCTACGAAGCGCTTCTGGATCATCATAGGAAAGATGACGACCCTTCTTCCCACGGTAGCTGCAGGTTCGCGCCTGTTCATAGATTTCCAGATACCCCCGATGAAACTGACTGCTCCCCCATACGCTGCCTCTATCTCAGAATCCCAACTCTCCTCCAGCTCATGTGGCTCCTCTCGACGCATCAGGTACATCAGGTCTCGCCGTAGTTCCGCATTCTTGTTATCGTCAAGAAAATCAGATACAGCGCCAATCATCTTGAATGCCACAGAATCGGGCTTATTTTTGATGAGATCCCAGGCTTTCCGAAACACGGCCGTACTGCTCCCGCTGATGCGTAGCCAGTTGATAGGCGGGACGTATGGTTCCAGAACTCGTTGCTGGATCTTGACGAAACCGTACAGACGCAGCATACTTGACACCAAGCAGATGGAATCTACATTTTCCAGACTCATATTCTCAATATCTTTGTGATGCTCGCGGAGAGCCATGTTGAGATATGTGCGACAAGTCTCGGCAGCCTCCTGGTCGGTGTAATTGCTGCGATGTTCATTGTGAAGACAAACTATCATGAACATCGCGTAGAGGATGGAATCTGAAGTCAAAGCCCTCTTGCAGAGACTTGTCACCCAGAATTCGTAGGCGATGTCGTCCATGGAAGTGGACGGGCCGGTATCAGTCATGTACTGGTAGAACAGTCGATGTTCAAGCTTTCTCCGCGCCTCAGATTCGGGAGGATCTACGATCTTGTCATCTGCAAGAAATGGTCGCGTAGATCCACCAGAGGCTTCAGAGCTGGGAGACTTGGCACGATCGTAGACGCAATCCAGCTCTAATCGAGTGCAGTTGGAACATATTGGCTTGGCTTCATCGCACTGATGTTGGTTAGTGGACATGCCAACCACTATAATTTGGCGCACTTGCCTTGACTCGGCGGGCTCTACACCGCTGACAACCTGTCCGGGACTTTTTATGAAACAGCTTCGCAGGGCGTTTTTTCATCGGTGGCTTCGATTGCCGAATGCTGAGATTGGCTGAACCGCTTGGATCCATAGTGACAGACGCATGCAATTCCAAGGATGGTCACGCAAGCTGAGGATAGAAAGAATGGGAGTTTAAACGATAACGATCGTTCAAGAGGCATCCAGAAAAGATAAACGAGAACGAGCGATCGTCGTCAGCGACGTGCCGATTTCCGGGCGGGAATAGTGCTGACTGAGATTTGATCCTGTAATTTGATTCGCTGATGGGACGGTAAACGGCTTCACGGCAATTAGTGTCCTCGCTTGGTTGTCGGTGACGAGGGTGCTTGTTTCGCTCGTTCTCGTTCATGCAGGGATTGAGTGGCTATGTTGCAACGTTGAACAGAAACCTCCTTTCTTTGGATATATACGAAAGATAATGAGTATATAGCTGGCAGTTTCAACATGTTTAACTTATCCAATCCAGAAGCATTCGACTCATTCCTATTCAATCTCCAAATCCTTCTATACTACCTATTCCATACCGACATTTCTACTTTTTATTCTCGTTGCAAAACATCATGTCTGGAGAAGGTCTTGATCCTCTCAAGCGATACATTGTCAAGGGCATAGCCAGTGGCATTGGCTTGGCATCTGAGGGCATCACCTCTTACAAAGAACGTCGCAAGGCCTCAACATCGTCACCAAGCTCTGAAAACGACACAGCCTCAATTCGATCCTTTCCAACCTCAACAGACACCACAGTTAATGGCGCTTATGAACTCTCTGCTGATGCCAAGGCTCGACCAGAGGAGGATGCCCAGTGGGAACTTGACGAGGCACAGGATGAGCTGCTGCCACAATATGAGCCTCCCCAAGAGACAAGCACTACCTCTGATCTCGGCCAAGATTTCTTCAGCAGATATCCTGCGCCTCCATACACGGAAACCACAAGCAAACTATCTCAGCCAGTCATCCTTCCCCAGCGCAGACCAAAGACACGCAGACGAGGTTTCATCAGAGCATATGCCCCAGCCTTGAACGACACTGGCATAACCCAGGACATGTTTCTTGAATTCCTCGAGACGTTTCACAAATCTACACAAGCATCACCATGGATCGATGCCATCAACATGGCTGCCATGCCTCTTTCGCTCATCCCTCATTTCCCAATGGTTGTCGGACTGGCTATCCAGGCCACGCTCATGGTAGCAAAAGACATCCAAAACAGGACAAGGACCAATGCATTCTTGGACAAGGCAAACAAGGAATTCTTTGGACCTCGTGGGCTGTACTGTCTCATCATGACTTATAGCCCTGACACCGACAAGCCCCATGAAACTGCCGACGTCTCTTCTACGATTGCTACCTCCCAGCACCCCTCGACAAGTCAGAAGATGTTTGGAAAGCTCAAAGAGTCTAAGGGCAAGACGTATGGAGAAGTCGAGCTGCCAGAAGCTGCACCTCTCGTGTTTCCAGTTCTTGAAGACCCTGCCACAGAAAGCGATGCAAAGAAGTCAACCAAGGAGAAGTTGGAAGGCACTCAAAACTATGTGAGAGACTACTTTGACAAGAGGGCACAAGCAAAGTTTGCTGCCAAGAACGATGGGAGCTCTCTGGTTCAGGGTCCAGCCCCCAAGTTCACCTCTCGATATGCCGATCCCACGCATCCCGCAAGTAGCGGTTCTTTCCGATCACTCATCACAGGAGGTCATATCAACCCTCCTCCAATGACTCGACAAGAGCGCATGGCGGGTGCTATGGGTAACTGGTGTAACAGCTATGATGCCAGACAACCGGGGGCCAACTACACTCTGAAGGATCATGTGTTGCGAACAAGAGGCATGATGTCGCTGGGGTCACCGAGAGCTGAGCATGCTCCGTATGGTGGACAACCAGCTGAGCCAGCCACAAGTATGAGGCCAGGTCTGGGACCTCGCATGAGTGGAGATCGAGACAAGTTGCAAGTAGGACCCCTTGCAGTTCCATCGCCAAGAGGGATGATCAAGAAGGTGGTGAAGAAGGTAAGTCAAGTCTCTTGATTTCAACAGCGCAGTAAGCTAACACGGAATTAGAACATCCTCTATTTGATGGTGGTCAACTTGCCAACGGACGAGGAGCTGGCTCAAGCTGCAGAAGAACTCGAGAGGAGGAGGAAGGAGGGCAACAAGATGTCTAACATTATCAAGAGGTTCGCGGATTATTAATGGTTTGTATTTTACTCATAGACTAGACCACGGCAGGAGTTGGTTAGAGGTAAGTGAGCGCATTTTTGAACGCCCCTAGTGGACTTGCTTTTAGAAATTTACAAGAAAATACAACCCCCAGTAACGGCATCTACCAAATGAGGATTCATCTCACGAGCTCAGTCCATCTCTTTCTGTCTCCTTGGCACTCGCGCTCTTGGGGTTGGGACTGACAGCCGCCTCTTCGACAGCAATCTGAGCAGCCGGATCAACGGTTTGAGGACTATACGAAGTTAGCGTATGTAAGCTGTAAGATGGTTCCCGTGACTTACTCTCGTCGCTTGAGATACCGGTTCAGCAGATGCGTCGCAATGACCAGGGTCACAGAGCATCCAAGTGAGAAGGAAAAGCCCTTGACGAAATGAGGAGCCTCGACCGTCTTGTAGACCAACAAAGGCGTCCATGCTGTGGATGACTGGGCGATGGCGGTAATAAGAACAAGAGCAAAGGACCTCTCTGCAGGGGATGCCCTCAGTTGCGTGTTGACCCAACCGTGCAGTGCAGGCGCCATGGCGTTGGCAGAGTAGATGGTTGAGAAGGCAAACCATTTCGCTGCTTCAGGGACGTTCCAGACGATGAGAATAATGAGTCCGATGATGTTCCAGGTATACGCAGCCGTAATAGCCCACGCAGGTCCGAGGTACAAATCAGAGGCAAAAGACACGAGCAGGACGTAGAAGATACCGAGCGCCGGGGCAATCGTGCCGAGTTCGTTGATGCGAGCCTTGGTATAGCGCTCGAGAGACTTGATCCATAGCAAGAAACTTCCAGAGCTAGTATGCAGCTGAGAGTTCCAGAAAAGGACGTCGAGAAGGATTATGGTCCAGAACTGTGGCTTCATGGCGATCCGCTTGAGGGTGTTCAAGCCAAGCTTGCCATGGGACTGATGGCCAGCACGAGATAGTCGCTCGGTGCTGAGATCGATGTCTTCTTGGGACAGACACACTCGGTTAGGTTGCTCGGGGGTACCTGGGATGACGAAATATCCGAGAATACCGATCGGGATGGTGATGATGGCGCAGATGATGTACATCCAGCGCCAACCGGCGAGGCCATGGACTCCATCCAACTGGGCCGAGGCTCCGGCCTGGATAAGACCGGCTGTGAGGGTTCCTAGGTAAAGGCCGATGTAAAAGATACCTCCACGTCTGGCCAATTCGTCACCACGGTACCAAGCTCCTATATGGCATGAGTATGAGACTGGGTAGCTTTGGGGGCAACATACCAAGAAGATAATTGATGGCGGGAAAGAAGGCAGCCTACTATGGCGTTAGTGTCATGGCCCCTCGTGCAAGGGGGTTAGGACGAACCTCAAACCATCCAACAAGGAATCGGTAGGCGGCGAGCTCGGCAAATCCAGTGACTCTATATTGTAGTAGTGTAAAGACGCCCCAGAGAATGTCGAGAGCGGGGATCAGCCAATGCATAGGAATGTAGGTGAGCAAGAACATCAGAGGAATCTGTCCAGTGACGGCGCCGACGACGTAAAAGGTTTGCAGCTTGACCAGCTCATTGCCCTCGAACTTCAGGTCCTCTTTCATCCCAGATACGTAGGCATTGTCTATAAACGTTAATTAGGTTCAAGAAAGTGGCGATGGTTACTCACTCAAGTTGGACTGATCCATGTACTTGACCCAGTATGCCAGGACAGCGTAGGGCACAATGAGGAGATCGAGCTTGGTGATCAGCTTCCGCTCCCGCGGGCTGTCGCCATCAGCGAACCATTTGAACCAACTGCCTCGAGATTTGTTGGCCATGTTGAAGAGATATCAGGGCCGATGAATACGAAGAAGATTGGGCCGAATACTGAAGGAGTAAAGGCAAAATCGATGCAGTTAAGTATCTTCTGACAGATTTTGCATGGCCTTCACTGGAGTCCATTACCACGGCCCTGGGACAGCTATTTACACGGAATTGGCGTTCTAGATCGAACCAGAAGCATGCTATAGACTATGGAGATATTCGATCTGTCCTAATCTTGCAAAAGATCGATTGCATCATTGCAAGGTTATCTGATGCAAGTTAATTTAAAAAGCCTATACTGACCAAGCTTCTTGTCACACGCACGGGGAAAACCCAAAGGTAACCTATGACTGACAAGAATCGAGAGAACGCGCCGCAGTGGGCAGTTGAGCTATCAATTCTAGATAGGGTGCGGCTCCGCGGCCGCGACAAACCTGTGCGGCTCCGACTTCATCTACCCGTACCCAGTTCACAGTGGGCCCGGTTGAACAAGCTCCATCGGAAAGAGTCCGGCTGCGTTAGTGAGGTCTGAAGAGGGAGATCCTGTCCTCTTGAATGGAAAGAATATTGCGTGCTCGTGGCTAGAAGCTGGCTGGAAGCTTGAGGGTTGAACTGGGCTGAGAACTAACGAACTACACCACAACTAACGACAACGCCGGTATCGAAAAATCTCGTATTTGGATCGCCCTCTCAACTAGAAGTTGACCGTAGGTGGGAGCTGGTACTGGCCCACGTCTAGGACCAGTCGTGTAGCATGTCACGCCGAGACCGGCATCGATCCCGGTCCGACCCTGATGAACCCGTACGTGGTCAGATAATTCTTGACATGGCGTGAAGCCGAGAATAAGCTAACATAAAAGCTTGAAACTTTATTTTGCCATTAGCAAGGGGCCATGTCCTCGAGACCAAACAGCCAAGGTCATAGCCACCAGAGTGGATATTCAGGGGGGCCGCAGACAGACGAGGAGCCAGAATGGTCTCCTATATTGCCCAAATGGAGGAACCCGAAAACTGAAAGACTTTGCAGTGAGTCATCAGGGACTGAGTAAATACCGCGCATCCTGCCTGGCGAGGACACGGCAAAATTCTTTCAACCATACCCCGTGCTCTTTATAATCCTCTGGAAGTCTGTCCACCACTTCCTCAGTCCAGGAGATTACCATGTTTTTGCGGCCTGGGCACTTTGGCTCCTCTGAAAGGGCGAGGACAGACCTTCCAATGATGTAGTCCAGCAGAAACGTGTGGATGATGAGGAGCTGGCCGACGTGGTTGCTTGGGTCAACGAATGACTGGAAGGTTTCGGTGCTTAAGTAGCTGGGTATCATGAAGAGGGTGACAAATTCCTTCCAAGCTGGTGCATTTGGTCAGCAGGGACACCCACAGTTGGGTCTTCACTCACCCTCCAAGGAAGAAGTCGGGAGCCAGGATATGGCCTTGAGCATGGATTCACAGTATATCTTCTCACACTCTGTCCGGCAGCGAGGCTCAAGAGCCAAAGCAGAGGCTTTGAATCCCTCTATAATCTTCATGTCTTTGGGCTGATCGGTGATGATATCCCGGATGTTGTCGATATGTGCATCTGGAGTCCAGGTCCTGAACACAGACCGATGATATTCAGGCATCATGGAAGTCGAGACAAGCGTAGCTCCTCTTGACATGACCAGATACTCTGTCATTCCATGCGGCATGAGACAAGATTGTGCAGCGATGCACATGAGGGCCGCAAATAAAGCATCTCTATCGGCAATACTCTTGTGTGAAGTGTCGGCGATCTGCTGGTTAATAAGATTGATGGCCGTGACCCTGTGCTGGAGCGCTTGAGCATTGTAGTTGACATTGCCATTTTGTGATAGATGAGAAGCGCCGAGACCCAAGGCAGCATGCGCCAAGTAGTTATACTGGAGCCGTGTTAGTTATCCGCAGAGCCAAACCATCTAGAGAAGCTCTCACGCCGTGGGTCATGGCCGCACACTGCGACCAGATATGATCCCCCCTTAGCGGCAAACTCGGATATGCCACGGTCAAGAACTGATAGTGGAATCTCAAATCATCCAGGGCCAAGCTCGTCAGCGGAGCTCTTGGTGTCTCGGGCAGGGCTTGGCATGCTAGAGGTGGATATTGACACCGCAATCCTAGCCGTGCACATCTCGCGCATCCTGGTTGACGTTCATCGCATTTGACTCTTCTCCGCTTGCAGTTGAAGCATCCGAGTCGGGATTTGGAATGGCCTCTTCGGGATGGTTGTTGTCTTGCGAGGATGACTTGGTTGGGTGTGTCGGAGCTTGATGACACAGAACACGACTCGACGGTGTTTTTATCATGCATGATGGAGCCTCAAATTAGGACTTCTCTTCTGTGTGATGGCATGCTGTGTTTGATTGAGGGGAGACTGTCGATCGTGTTGGAGATGCACACACGGCACTCGCGTCGTGGGTTGCAGGGGTAACGGCAATTCTGCCTTGGCGCCAAGATGACTTGTTTCACGCCTCGCAGGCTTCATCACGTGCAATGGATGCCTGGCAAAACGCGCTGGCGTTCGTTGGTGACATTTCTCTGAGCTCTGAGTGGCACTAGCGCTAGTGGTCAAAAGCAAATCGTGCTGGTGAGAGGCCATGGACCAGCCAACCCTAGAGTTGTCGGGTTGTCGCATGTTATTGACTTATTGTCCATCAGCGTTGCTCTGGGGATGCAATGTCTCAAGGCTTTTTTTTTCCTTTTTGAAAATAATTGGGAGTACCAGAAGCTAGAGTGTGCTCATTCTATGAATTTCATCCAGGTTTTCGATTTGAGAGAAATGCTCCGTAAATTGGGTCTTCAACAATACTGAGCGGCAAGGCAATATACAGGACCGATGTATGATATTGCCACAACTATGATGTGATATAGCCGAAATGAAACCCAAATGAGCGCCGTTTGAATGCCGAATAACATGAGTATGTTTAACTATCCGAGAGAAAGCCCTTTGGAGATGGCCCGTTGATGAAAGCAGAGCAGCTGCGCATCACAACTGCGATCTCGCTGTAGCGAAACCATCCTAGAAGGGATGACTCTTCTTATTTTTCTCCATTGACAGTCCTTGGAACTGCTGTCAACTCGACCACATGTCATGAGCCGAGGCCATGCCGCTTGGTAGACTTGTCGCAAAAGGGCGCAGCTTACTAACGCCGAGCCGATCCGAATAGTGACTCATGTTGGACAAAGTCAACAACCGACAGCTTCTACTTTACAAAGAACTCAGTCATACCTCCCCAAAATCATTTCAAGAAGCATCATCATGAGCGACCTACCTGTTGGTCCTCTCACCCCGGAGGGCAAGGCATTGCCGCCCTCGCGCGTGTCCCTCGATGGGAAGTACACCTCTTTGGTCCCTCTTGATGTATCCCACGCCGATGCGCTTTTCAAACATCTTGGTGGTGAGGAGAATGGTCATCTTTGGACTTATATGTTTGGTGGTCCATACCTCGACCAGGTCGAGTGGAAGGAAACCCAGAAGGTCTGGAGCAAGAGAGAAGACACAATCTTCTTCACCGTCCTCTCTGGTCCACGAGAAGACCCCAACTCTGAGCCTGTGGGACAAATGTCCTATCTCAACATTGTGCCAGATCAGCGTCGAATTGAAATTGGCAGCGTCATCCTTGGTGGCAAGCTGAAGCAGACTCGAGCGGCGACTGAGGCATTTTACCTCCTCATCAAACACGCCTTCGAAGAGCTCGGATATCTGAGAGTTGAATGGAAGGCCAACCACCTCAACAAGCCCAGCTTGTCGGCTGCTGAGCGGCTTGGTTTCGTCTACGAGGGAATCTTCAGGTACTTTTTCACTCTGCAACTCCTCTTGTGTAGATGCTGACGGCCATTAGGAAGCACATGATCCTCAAGGGTAGACGTCGAGACACAGCTTGGTTCAGTATCACAGATGATGAGTGGCCTCTCGTCAAGAAGGCGTTTGAGGCGTGGTTGAGTGAAGACAACTTTGATGAGAATGGCAAACAGATCAAGGCACTCAAGAGCATCAGACAAGCTCTGCAAGAAGAACAGAACTGATAGACCCGCGAAAATACGGCTTGTAGATACAAGTTGGAGAATAGTAGAAAATCTTTCAAGGACGGTCTGCTCATGGCAGGCGAGACATCAAGCTATCTGGTACGCCTCACTTGGCACACAAGCCTGCCTATGCTAATGCATCAAATCCTATCTGGTTTATTGGCACTACTATGGACTCACCAAGTATTTTCCATCTAAAATCCTCCAAATCTTTTAATCCCGAGAGATTCAATTAAACCAACCATGCCTCCAAGTAGTCGTGTGCTTATTCCTCCCTGTGATTGTAGCAGAGTGTTGCCCCTTCTCTTGTGGTTCTCATCGCAAAAGGCACTAGCGACCTTTTCTTTTTCTTAAAAAAAATAAATTATTATTTTATATCGATAAATTTAATAAATTCTTGACTTAGCTCGCTCTGAAACCATCTGCATTGTCTCTGTTTTTAGACTTTGTCCCCTGAACTATTACGAATCTCCGTTGTGCTAACGACAGTCTAGAACCTAACGGAGATGATGATGGAAGAAGGCCCCATTTTTTCCGGCTACAGAGCCAGGATGCTGACTCAGATTGGTCTCGCGACCATTGATTTCTTGATGGAGAGTCTGCTCCCTTGGTGACTCGTTGGCTTCCTTGTGCTGGGTTCCAGGCTCATGTCAACTTGGACAAGTAACGCTACCAAGCAACAATTCAGTGTTTGGAGAACGGGCTCATGAGCCTTGTTCATCTGCAGTGCCTCTGCGCCCTTCCTTAAAAGCACCATTGGGGTCACCATTCCTCAGCTCATGCTGCATGCTGACGAAGGCGCAGCCACCAAAGTCCTATCTGCGGCAACTACGGCGTGGCCGAGACATTCGGCTCTGCCGGGCGAGAGTAGTGACGCCACAAGCTTGAGACGAGTCATGGGGCCATCCCTTACGGACCAAAGGCTCACTGCGGCGTCAACCATGGCGTCCACATCGAGGCAATCTACCATCTCCCCAGACAAAGCTAAAGGTTAATGATTTCAAATCCAGAGAAAAGGGGCACCCTAAAACCGTTCACATCCCCGAGGCTAAAAAGCTTGACCCTCCGGATTCCCCATTTCGAGGTTAGGCTACGTCACTGAGACTGAAGCCTATCAAGTAATGGAGGGAGGAGGTCATGATCGGCGAAGCGGCTGGCTGGCTGAATGGAAGTATCCACATCCCGATGGGATCTAGGACGTAATTAGAATGGCTGCCGTAGAGACATTTACTCCAAGACCATCGACGGGTAGATCTGATCGTTGGAACGGCGCCATAGGCCACTGTGCGAGCAGTTCTGGGATGTGTGTTGGGCAGGGATGTTAAAAATACTACTAGTTTTACTAAACTAATTAGTAACTAAAAACTACAGGGTAGTTTATACTAATTAATATATACTAATTAGTAGTACTACTAGTATACTAATTACGTAAGCAGCTTAGTATTAGTATACTAATACTAAAAATTTAAAGTTTACTCTTTTACTAAGACTAATTAGTATTAGTATTTATACTAATTAGTATAAATACTCTAGTATAAATACTAGTTAGTATAAATACTAATTAGTATAAGTTACTATTTTTAGAATATATATATATTTTAAATATATATTAAAAATAATATATATATTAAATAAATCTTTTTTTTTTATTTTTATAACACTCGCTTATAACTTTATAAGGAAAAATATATAAAATTCAAAAGAAATACCATTAAATAGCGCTTTTTTTTTCTCCTTTAGAAAAACTTTTTTTTCATATTAATCTATTGCTTCTGGGTTTTTAAATAATTTTAAAAACTTAATAGTTTTAGTATTAGTTTAGTTAAGGTCCGAAAAATCTTAAAAAAAATTAAGTCTTTTTCTTATGCTTACCTAAACTTATAACCCTAACCCTAAAAAAGCTAAACTATATAAAAACCCTCTCCTAGCTCTCACTACTATTTTCTAAGCTATTAAAAGTTAATAAATTCTTAAAAAATTAAAGAAAATTAAAACTAACCTTAGGGTAGGCGTAGAAGGTTGCTGACGTAATGTAGATCTTCTCCAAGGCTGATAAGCAATATCACGTAATCTTTTTGCTCGTCTATAAGCATAAAAGTTAGTAATTTCTATTTAAAGGTATTAATAAGGAATAAAAAGAAGAAATACCTTAAATCCGGGGGTAATTCAGGTACCGGAGAGGGGTATAGGGTAGGAAGACCATGACAAACTATAGCTTCCCCTTGGCTATCCGGAAGATCTTTATTCCGGTCTATTATTTTTAAAGAAATTAAAAATAATAGAGGGTGAAGCATAGAAAGAAGCTTATTTTCCTCTAAGAAAACGTATATCTTAGAGATTACGTAATCTTGTGAGTTTTCAAGTGGTCTAGGGTAGGAGTTAAATCTTGTAACCTTGTCTAGGGTAGCTAGCTCTAGGCTAAAAACAGCTTCCTGATCTGGAAAAGATAGAAATTCTTTTTTAGAAAAAGTAGGAGGTTTTAAAGCCCTATATTTGGAAAGTGACTGTATAAGGTCGTCGATTATGTAAGCATAGGGTTTAGGGTAGCCTATAAAGATAGGAGGAGAATCTTTAATTTCATTTCTAAAAAAAAAGGAATGAGCATAAAAGTAAGGCTCAAAGCACGGAATTTCAGCTTCCATGGTGTATAGGGTAGGGAAAAATTTGGACTTTCGATTGATGGTCTTTGTGAAGGAATTGGTTGAGTATTGATGGAGTTAAAGACTAGAAACTAATCTGGGACTAAATAGTCTTCTTATAGCTATATCTCATTCACCGCTCTTTGTATCCGTGCGTATGCATATTCACATGAAAGCCGCTTTTTTGGTGTATTTAATGATATACTTTCTGCTACCCTAGAGTGGCGTTTGAATTTTTTAAGAATTATTACAATATTATAAGCACTATTGAAGTTTACTTACGCTCTGACTTACGCTCTGACTTACGCTTTGATATAGCTTACCCTATAGTGCTTATAAAGCATAAGCGCTAATAAAGGTTAAAATTAAGGTTTAAATAGCTTAAACCTTAAACTTAGGCTATAGGGTAGTATTTATATAGAGATTTTAAACTTTATTAAAAAATTAGCTTTTAAGCTAAGAAAAATTCTTTAAAAAATACTAAAAAAAATAATATAATTTTAAATAAATTAGTAAAAAGCTAATAAAGTTAATTAAGTCTTATTTACCTATATAAAGCCTCTTTCTCTCTTTATAAAAATTCTTTAAAATTCTTTCTATATTATAAGATAAGTATTACTTATTATATCTTATTATATAATCTTTTTATAAAAAAACCTTATTTTTTTACTTATTTTATACTATGGATTCTAGCTTTTCTAGTACGCAGCCTGAGGCTAGAGATACTATAGAAGTTAGAGGAAATATTATATCTCCTTCTCCTATACCCCTAACCCAACCCTCGCCTAACCCTAACCCTAACCCTAACCCTAATTTACAAGGCTTAGAAGATATAAATAACTCAACTATTTATATTTTTAAAGCTGGGTTATTTACTAGAGAATTATATCCTCTAGAAGAGGAAGAAGAAGAAAGAAGCTATTTAGTTTCTTATAGTATGTAAGTAAAAATTCTTAAAAAATTATTTTAGCTTTATTTATTTATTTTATAATTTTTAAAATTACTAACTAATTATAATATTAATAGGTGCAATTATAAGAAAAAAGAAAAAATTAAATAATTTAAATCCTCTAATTTTACTAAGCATTTTAAAAATCACCATCAAGATATTGCTTATAACCTTAAGAGTGAAAAATTCTTAAAAAGAAGTAAGTTTTTTTTATTAACTTATAATTATAATAACTAATTTAATTTAATTAGAAAGAGATTATATAGAAATAGAAGAAGGAAATACTTCTTCTTCTAATCCTATTATTAGGTCTCAAACCCAGCCTTTTGCTATTATGGAAGATATAGCTTTAAAAAAAATATTAGATTTCTTAATAGAAAATAATATTTCTTTTAAAGCTATAGGTTCTAATTCCTTTAAGGAGTTATTAAGTTATTATAATAAGTAAGTTATTTATATATATTTTTTAAAATATATTTACTAATATATCTATAGCTTAGGACCTAATTTAAATAGGTTTAAAATAAAAGAAGTATTAAATACTTCTTTTAATTTTACTTTAAATACCTTAAATAAGGAATTTAAGGATAATATATCTAGTTTAGGGAAATTTTCCTTAACCTTTGATATATAGACTTCTACAACCCAAGATGCCTATTTAGGAATTATTCTTAGTTTTATTACTAAGGATTTTACCTTAAAATATTACTTAATCGGTTAGTATATACCTATTTTCTTATTTATTAAAATATAAAAAAAACCCTATAAATATATTATATAAATAAGCTAAATTTGTATTACTAACTATTATAGGCTTCCATACCCTAGAGGAAAGACATACTAGAATATATATTTATAGCGAATTTCACAAAGCTATTTCTATATATCCTAGTTTAATTTTAAATAATATCTTTAGGTAAGGATTTATTTTTATTTTTTTAATTAAGGCTTATTTACTAATATTTATAGTATTACTAAGGATAATGCTTCTAATAATAATACCTTTATAAATTTCTTTGAATTAGAGTATAAAAATACTTTAAAAAAGGATTTTAAGGGAAATATTAGATGTATAGCTCATATTATTAATTTAATAGCGCAAGATATTTTAAAAAAATATCTCCCTTCTACCTCTATAGAAGAGGAATTATCTAAATATATTAATTCTAAAATAATATATTTAAATAATCCTTCTTTAGAGGTAGAAGCTCCTAGTTCTTCAGATCCTAGTAAGTTTTTTTTTATATTTTTTTATATATAATTTATAAATTAATTATTATTTTAGGCTTACTTATAAGAGCAAGGCGTCTTATTACTATTATTAAATACTCGCAAGAACCTAAAAAGCTTTTTTTAGAAGCTATTAAATGACAAAAAGAAGAAGATACCTTAAAAACAGAAAAAACACATAT